GGGAGAGAGAAAGAGAAAAAAAGAAAGAAAAGAAAAGAGAAAGGAAGAAAGAAAGAAAGAAAGAAAGAAAGAAAGAAAAGGAAGGAAGGAAGGAAGGAAGGAAACAGATGCCCAAATACAAGGTGGGCTAAAATAGCTTTACAGTTGTTCATATGAAAAATAATGCAGTAAAGAAAGAAAGAAAGAAAGAAAGAAAGAAAAGAAAACAGATGCCCAAATACAAGGTGGGCTAAAGTAGCTTTACAGTTGTTCATATGAAAAATAATGCAGTGATTAATAAAGAATAAAGAATAAACTCTATGTTTCGACTACAACTGTAAACCTACCTTTGCCCCACCCTGTAGAAACCTGAAGATGCTCACTGGCCCAGCCCCCCAAGTCTCTCCTGGAACTTCTCCCACCTGTGCAGGTAGAGACAGACGCTAGTGTTCGCCTGACCTTCACCATCTTAGATGAGAAATGGAACCAACCTCATGTCCCCTGCCGCAGGAGAACGCCGTCCTGGGGGAGCACTGCTGCAGGTGGGATGAGCAGGCTCCGCCAGGCACCCAGGTCAGCAGGTCCATATAGACCTACCAGTGGAATCAGAAGCGAGCTGCAGGAGGCTCAGCAAGAACCCTTCACACAAAGTTCAAGAATGTTACGTAGGCAGGACCTGTTTTCAACTCCATCCACAGGTGCTTAGCCTGGGGTAGAGTCCCTCTGAGTGGAGGAGGGAGAGTAATTGGACGTGAGAGGGGGTCTGGGGTGAGGGGTGGGCTTCTCCTTCCCTGGGCTGAGAGGAGGGGACAGTCAGTAGAGACCCAAAGGGAGGGAAGAAGGAAACTGGGGCTGGGCACTTCCCAAGGAGGAAGCAATGATGCCGGATTTTCCCCAGGTGTGGCCAGAGGTATAAAGGGCGCTGCCAGCTGGCCACGGCCAGGTCTAGCACCTGGTGCATTCCAGGACCACAGCCAGGTGTGCTTGCGACTGCACCGGGCACACACCAGCTGCTCAGAGTCCAGCCACCGCCACCACGGAGATGGTGAGCCGTCTCTCCCCACGCCCCCACCTGGATGGTGCCATCTGGCCCAGAAGGACTGGCAGTTCCCTGAGCTCCGGGCTAGTGATGTTGGGATGGGGTCCAGGAAGCCCCTCCAAATCTTGGGGCAGGAGGGAGCCAGGACCCAGGAGCTCTGGTCCACTGGGGAGCTTGGGCTAAGGGTCTAGCCTCTCTAGGCCTCAGTTTCCCCAACTGTAGAGAGTGGGCTATACCCTACCTTTCCACAGAGAACAGGGCAAGCGAGGGTGGCAGCGAGGTGCCTTCCTCACTGGGCACCCCCTGACAGCCCACCACCTGTTTCATCAGCTCCTCCCTGGCCTTCTGCTTCTGCTCTGGCTATCTGCCGGCCTGGCCCACCACGGTTCCGCACTCTGGGGAGGCCCCCACAGCCACACCCATGGGGCCCCACGCTGCTACTCAGCCGAGGAGCTGCCCCTGGGCCAGGCTCCCGCACACCTGCTGGCTCGAGCTGCCAAGTGGGAGCAGACTTTGCCAGTAGCCCTGGTGTCCAGCCTGGAGGCAGTGGGCCGTAGGAGGTGGCAGGAGAGGCCCCCAGCTGGGACCCAGTGTCCGGTGCTGCAGCCTGAGGAGGTGCTAGAAGCCGACATCCACCAGCGCTCCATCTCGCCCTGGCGATACCGGTGAGGGCTGGGCTCCCTGGGCACTGGATCCCCACGGTGGGCGGTGGGCTGCTCCCTCCCCTTTCCGGGCACTGGCTTCCGGAAGGCTCTGCGAGTCTGTTTCACCAGTTCAATGGGATGAGCGTCCTGACCTCTGTCCAGCCAGGGTCCTGCCCCGGAGGGTGAGGCTCCATCCGATGAGCTCCTCCTTGCCACTGTTGTCTCAGATCTTAGCTCAGACCTTGGGTACCAGCGTCCCCTAGGAAAATCGGGGGCCCTCACTTGAGCCCCTACAAGGGTTGGGCTGGGCTCAGAGGGCGGAACAGAGGGAGGCCTCTGAGAGGGCACTGGAGACACGGGCAATCATCACTTACAGGGCTCCCGGCAGCCTGACGCTTCAGCTCTCACTCAGGCCGGGAGCACCCTGAGAGTGTGGGGCAGCCATGGGTACAACAGGAAGGGAGGAACGGGCCTGCTGAGGCTCTTGGCAGGGCCTCACCAGTCTTTCCCGGCAGTGTGGACACGGACGAGAACCGCTACCCACAGAAGCTGGCCGTCGCTGAGTGTCTGTGCAGGGGCTGCATCAGCGCCAGGACCGGCCGCGAGACGGCAGCGCTCAACTCCGTGCCGCTGCACCAGAGCCTGCTGGTGCTGCGCCGCCGGCCCTGCTCCCTGGACGCATCCGGGGTGCCCACGCCCGGGGCCTTTGCCTTCCACGCAGAGTCCATCAGAGTGCCCATCGGCTGCACCTGTGTCCTGCCCAGGGTGGTACGGTGACCACTGGCCCCAGCTGTCCCGCTGTGCTGTGGGCGGGGATCACCTCCCAGACTGGACAGTGGGGATCTCTCTGCAGAGAGGGCCCCTCCTATTTATGTGTATTTATTGGCTATTTATATGCCCTGGGTGGCCCTGCTTCTGCTGCCCAGGGTCCCTGGGCGGGTACCAGGGCTCCACGCCTCTAGTTTGAGGGAAGAACAGTGAAGATTGGGCACGGGAAGGGCCAAGTGACCCTGCGCTAGTCAGCCCCCTCTCCACGTTGTTACCTTTCCACGCAGACAGTGGGCTAGAGGAATGTTATTTTTCTATAACTTCTTAAAACAACAGAAAATGTGTTCTGATGGCCCCCACCTTGGTGGTTCCTCTGGGATCCCCCAAGCTCCTTTCCCCACCACCCCTGTATTTCTAAAACTATTTGTTGTAAATGTGTGTCATTAAAATGATAAACACCCCCTGGAGCACAGCGTCCACGGCACTTCTGCCAGGCCCTGGCCCCCAGATGGCCCTGTGGCCCGATTCTGGTGTGTCCAGAAAAGTCTATGTAGGAACCCCACGTACGACCAGGTGAGGAATGAGTTTGTAGAGTGGAGCACAGGTGTGCCCTGCTGGCCCCTAGTTTCCACCTGGCGATACCCGCTAGCGATGGCTCTGGGGCCCGGGGATGGCCCTCACTCCCACAGCCCAGCCGATGTGATGTAGGCCGGCCCTCCTCTACTGACAGGCCCAAGGCGTGGCCAAACCTATGCAATGACAGTGAGCACCCTCTCCACCCCTGGGACATGCATCTCTGAGGGTAACTCCCAGGGGGGTGGCTTTGCAGCCAGGGTGACTGCCATCACCTTCAGGTATCTGAGTCATGCTCCCCAACCCCAGCAGAGCCCCAGGCAGCTCCAAAGGCCGCCCCATGTCCCAGGCATCCCCTTGGGCTTCTGTTCACCACTGGTGACCTGCCAGACCAGGGGCAGCCAAGCAGGCCAACACCCCCAGGCCAGGTGCCCCACTGGCTACCTGACAACCCAGCCTGTGCTCTCACTGCACAAGTCCCATATCTGCCCGTTCAGGCTCGTTACTGCTGGAGGCGTTCAGTTCAGGTTCCAGGAGTGTGGCCTCAGCAGCTGTGGAAGGGGCCCTGGGGCAGCCTGTGAGGCTCAGGCCCAGGCAGCTCCAAGGTTGACTTGGGGCCGTGGGGTTTCCACCCACTGATTAATCCCTGCCGGCAGGAGAACGCCGTCCTGGGGGAGCACTGCTGCAGGTGGGATGAGCAGGCTCCGCCAGGCACCCAGGTCAGCAGGTCCATATAGACCTACCAGTGGAATCAGAAGCGAGCTGCAGGAGGCTCAGCAAGAACCCTTCACACAAAGTTCAAGAATGTTACGTAGGCAGGACCTGTTTTCAACTCCATCCACAGGTGCTTAGCCTGGGGTAGAGTCCCTCTGAGTGGAGGAGGGAGAGTAATTGGACGTGAGAGGGGGTCTGGGGTGAGGGGTGGGCTTCTCCTTCCCTGGGCTGAGAGGAGGGGACAGTCAGTAGAGACCCAAAGGGAGGGAAGAAGGAAGCTGGGGCTGGGCACTTCCCAAGGAGGAAGCAATGATGCCGGATTTTCCCCAGGTGTGGCCAGAGGTATAAAGGGCGCTGCCAGCTGGCCACGGCCAGGTCTAGCACCTGGTGCATTCCAGGACCACAGCCAGGTGTGCTTGCGACTGCACCGGGCACACACCAGCTGCTCAGAGTCCAGCCACCGCCACCACGGAGATGGTGAGCCGTCTCTCCCCACGCCCCCACCTGGATGGTGCCATCTGGCCCAGAAGGACTGGCAGTTCCCTGAGCTCCGGGCTAGTGATGTTGGGATGGGGTCCAGGAAGCCCCTCCAAATCTTGGGGCAGGAGGGAGCCAGGACCCAGGAGCTCTGGTCCACTGGGGAGCTTGGGCTAAGGGTCTAGCCTCTCTAGGCCTCAGTTTCCCCAACTGTAGAGAGTGGGCTATACCCTACCTTTCCACAGAGAACAGGGCAAGCGAGGGTGGCAGCGAGGTGCCTTCCTCACTGGGCACCCCCTGACAGCCCACCACCTGTTTCATCAGCTCCTCCCTGGCCTTCTGCTTCTGCTCTGGCTATCTGCCGGCCTGGCCCACCACGGTTCCGCACTCTGGGGAGGCCCCCACAGCCACACCCATGGGGCCCCACGCTGCTACTCAGCCGAGGAGCTGCCCCTGGGCCAGGCTCCCGCACACCTGCTGGCTCGAGCTGCCAAGTGGGAGCAGACTTTGCCAGTAGCCCTGGTGTCCAGCCTGGAGGCAGTGGGCCGTAGGAGGTGGCAGGAGAGGCCCCCAGCTGGGACCCAGTGTCCGGTGCTGCAGCCTGAGGAGGTGCTAGAAGCCGACATCCACCAGCGCTCCATCTCGCCCTGGCGATACCGGTGAGGGCTGGGCTCCCTGGGCACTGGATCCCCACGGTGGGCGGTGGGCTGCTCCCTCCCCTTTCCGGGCACTGGCTTCCGGAAGGCTCTGCGAGTCTGTTTCACCAGTTCAATGGGATGAGCGTCCTGACCTCTGTCCAGCCAGGGTCCTGCCCCGGAGGGTGAGGCTCCATCCGATGAGCTCCTCCTTGCCACTGTTGTCTCAGATCTTAGCTCAGACCTTGGGTACCAGCGTCCCCTAGGAAAATCGGGGGCCCTCACTTGAGCCCCTACAAGGGTTGGGCTGGGCTCAGAGGGCGGAACAGAGGGAGGCCTCTGAGAGGGCACTGGAGACACGGGCAATCATCACTTACAGGGCTCCCGGCAGCCTGACGCTTCAGCTCTCACTCAGGCCGGGAGCACCCTGAGAGTGTGGGGCAGCCATGGGTACAACAGGAAGGGAGGAACGGGCCTGCTGAGGCTCTTGGCAGGGCCTCACCAGTCTTTCCCGGCAGTGTGGACACGGACGAGAACCGCTACCCACAGAAGCTGGCCGTCGCTGAGTGTCTGTGCAGGGGCTGCATCAGCGCCAGGACCGGCCGCGAGACGGCAGCGCTCAACTCCGTGCCGCTGCACCAGAGCCTGCTGGTGCTGCGCCGCCGGCCCTGCTCCCTGGACGCATCCGGGGTGCCCACGCCCGGGGCCTTTGCCTTCCACGCGGAGTCCATCAGAGTGCCCATCGGCTGCACCTGTGTCCTGCCCAGGGTGGTACGGTGACCACTGGCCCCAGCTGTCCCGCTGTGCTGTGGGCGGGGATCACCTCCCAGACTGGACAGTGGGGATCTCTCTGCAGAGAGGGCCCCTCCTATTTATGTGTATTTATTGGCTATTTATATGCCCTGGGTGGCCCTGCTTCTGCTGCCCAGGGTCCCTGGGCAGGTACCAGGGCTCCACGCCTCTAGTTTGAGGGAAAAACAGTGAAGATTGGGCACGGGAAGGGCCAAGTGACCCTGCGCTAGTCAGCCCCCTCTCCACGTTGTTACCTTTCCACGCAGACAGTGGGCTAGAGGAATGTTATTTTTCTATAACTTCTTAAAACAACAGAAAATGTGTTCTGATGGCCCCCACCTTGGTGGTTCCTCTGGGATCCCCCAAGCTCCTTTCCCCACCACCCCTGTATTTCTAAAACTATTTGTTGTAAATGTGTGTCATTAAAATGATAAACACCCCCTGGAGCACAGCGTCCACGGCACTTCTGCCAGGCCCTGGCCCCCAGATGGCCCTGTGGCCCGATTCTGGTGTGTCCAGAAAAGTCTATGTAGGAACCCCACGTACGACCAGGTGAGGAATGAGTTTGTAGAGTGGAGCACAGGTGTGCCCTGCTGGCCCCTAGTTTCCACCTGGCGATACCCGCTAGCGATGGCTCTGGGGCCCGGGGATGGCCCTCACTCCCACAGCCCAGCCGATGTGATGTAGGCCGGCCCTCCTCTACTGACAGGCCCAAGGCGTGGCCAAACCTATGCAATGACAGTGAGCACCCTCTCCACCCCTGGGACATGCATCTCTGAGGGTAACTCCCAGGGGGGTGGCTTTGCAGCCAGGGTGACTGCCATCACCTTCAGGTATCTGAGTCATGCTCCCCAACCCCAGCAGAGCCCCAGGCAGCTCCAAAGGCCGCCCCATGTCCCAGGCATCCCCTTGGGCTTCTGTTCACCACTGGTGACCTGCCAGACCAGGGGCAGCCAAGCAGGCCAACACCCCCAGGCCAGGTGCCCCACTGGCTACCTGACAACCCAGCCTGTGCTCTCACTGCACAAGTCCCATATCTGCCCGTTCAGGCTCGTTACTGCTGGAGGCGTTCAGTTCAGGTTCCAGGAGTGTGGCCTCAGCAGCTGTGGAAGGGGCCCTGGGGCAGCCTGTGAGGCTCAGGCCCAGGCAGCTCCAAGGTTGACTTGGGGCCGTGGGGTTTCCACCCACTGATTAATGCTCATTGTGTGCAAGTGCCTGGGAAGAGCCTGGAAGGACTGAGATCAGCATGTGTTTACTGAGCTCTGTGTGTGGGCACTGGGAGCAGAGCAGTGAACAAAGCGGACAGGTCTCTGCCTGCCCACACACGGGGGTGACTGACAACCACAGGACAAGCAGTAAAGTGCTCCCTCGGTGGACAGTGATGCAGGGAAGGGGCAGGGGCTGCAATTCCAGAGGGTCAGGGAGGCCGTGGAGGCCACCTGGGCAAAGGCCGGGATGGCCAGCCAGGGATCTGTGTTCCAGGCAGAGGGAATGGCCTGTGCAAGGCCCTGAGAAGGCAGCCTGTGTCTGAGGGTCAAGGGTGGTCAGTGTGGCTGAAGCCGAGGAGCAGGCAGTAACTGTGGGGCCAGGGAGCAGAGTATCTGTCCTAGACTGTGGGAGTCTGTGGTTCTGAGTGGGTGCCAGCAGGTCAACTGCAGTGCTGGAAACTGCCTGCAGGGACAGGGCAGAGTGGGAGGTGACAAGTAGACTTATGAAGACAGAGCCCAAAGGAGGCGTGGGGGTACATACAGGGGTGTCAAGGGGGCCTGTGGTTTTATTGTCCTGGGGCAGGGCTGGTACAGTGGAGTGTTGGTCCTGAAATGTTAGAAGACCCCCAGTTCTGAAAGTAGGATTTGCTGAGAGCAGGTGGGGCAAACAGGAGGCAAAGGGTTTAAGGGATTTTCCAGACTTTGGGGGAATGAGTGCCCGGGGAGAGCCCATCGAGGAGGAGGGGGCTTCCAGGCTGGGGTGTGAGCTAAAGGCAGGCAAATCTTGGGGCTCCCGGCTGGGGAGCAGCAGGCAGTGTCCAGGAGGACCACAGCTGGCCCTCCTGGGGGGAGAGAGAGAGCGAAAGAGACAGAGAGAGAGAGGTGTCTGGTGTGTGTGTTTGCAGCCTCAGGACTGGAGAGGCAAGGGCAGACCTGAAGCCCCCACAGCTGGCCTGGCCATCCTGGGTGGCACCCAAGGTGAAGGCTGCTGGGCTCCCTGGGGCCTCCCCTTGCTCCCCTGCTTTCCCACTTCACTCAGCTGCTCAGGTGGGACTGGGGGTTCTTGAAGGTGAGTCTGGGCAGATCCAGGAGAGCTGGTGGGGGGCACACACTCCCTCCTCCCAGGCCTGGGAACTTCATTGCCAGAGTAGAAATGCAATACTTGGAATTTCAGAAACTATATTTCATGGAATAAAAGATGCTTGTGATTTCAAGTACCATTGAGAAAAGATAGGCTTCTGGGAATGACACCAAGAGAGGGCCTGTGGTTCCGCAGGGCAGGCAAGGGGGTACCTTTGGGGTCTGGGTGGGTCCCCCCACCGAAAAGCAACACGAGACAGCAGCCACTCGTAGTAGTTCACACAACCTCATCGGTCACTGGGATAGGGTTTTCCTGGGGGCCACTGGAGACTCCTGCTGCTGCCGCCTCGTCTTCCTCCTCACTGGGCTTCTTGCGGGCCTCGGCTGGGGGCCGGGGTGGGGGGTTGCTGGGTGGCTGCTTGATGGTACCCCCCACCTGAGGCCGCTCCTTAGGCTTGGACTCGATGGGAGTCCACTGCTCACCACGGGTGGCCGCCTGCAGGACACAGAGTGGCTGGGCCCTGGGGGGCCTCTGGGGTCCATCCCCAACATAGCCCCCACCCCTATCAGGGGACAGGGGGGCCCTGCAAAAAAGAGGGAGCTAGGAATCCCTGGGTTTCGGAAAGACCTCCTGGAGGTCACTTCCAGGTACACATTCCCAGACACCCCCAGGAGCAGGACAGGGAGGTCAGGCCAGCATGTCCATCAAGCTGAGTCAAGAAGCCAGGCAGCGCACAGGGTGGAAGAGGCCTAGGAGGGTAGCCAGGGAGGGCAGGGGCCCACTCAGCCTGGAGCCTCCCCAAGGGCACCCAGGCCTGTTGGGTGGGGGTGGGGGAGCATCACTGACATCCCCATCGCATGAGCAAGGACACAGGCTCCTGGCCTTGGCTCAGCCCATGGGTGGCTGCAGGGACTGAGGTGTCAAGCATCAGCGGGGCTGACCACAGACACCACTCACCAGCAGATAGATGCCACTCGCTATGGCCAAGCAGGCTGTCCCCAGGATGGTGGCAAGCAGGAAGCCGGCTGGTACCGACAGCCTGGGGGGAGGGGGAGAGGATGGGAGACTCAGAAGAGCAGCCACAGGGGGTCTGCAGGGGGTCCAGGTCTTGGGCAGAGGCCATAAGATCTCAGGAAAAAACCGACCATAAGTGTGCTGTCCCCATGACCCTGGACTCAGGGACCACCTGGCCCTGCCAAGGCTGGGCTTTTAAGTTTGGGTCCCTGGGGCTGTCCTCTGCTTGACTTGTACCCTAACAATCTTGGGGCCCTTGTGCTTGGTCCAGCCGTCGTGCTGAGGGGATGCCCCGGCAGCTGCAGGGACACAGAGTGTTCTGGCCTCTGCAGTCACCACCAGGCATGTGCGTGAGGGAGCAGAACTACCAGCTGAGCTCCGTCTACCCCAGAACCCTGACTGTTCCTGTTTAAGTTGCTAAGGTTTGGGGTGAACTGTTAGCAAGAGGTGACAAGTACAGGTTTGGGGAACCTCTGGCAGAGCCTGGGACCTGGGTTTGTTTGGAAAAACAGCTAGGCTGAGAGGGACCCCACTTGCCCCAAGCGCCCCTGTCCAGGCAGCCAGGCCAGGAGCAGGCGGGGACTCACACAAGGTGCAGGAAGGCCCGGACGTAGTAATTCCTGGAGAGGGGCCCGAACAGCTTCACCACTTTCGTCATGTACTTCTGTCCGCTAGACCAAGTGAGGGAGGGAAGACAGATGGTTGTACTCAGCAACCCCACCTCCCACCCTGCCCCAGAGCGCCCCAGCTTCTTTCCTCAGGGACCGTAGGCCACAGCAGCTATGCGGGCAGGCACCAGCCTTGGTTTGCCCAGGAGGATAAATGGGTTGGTGCTGGAGCTTCGTAGTGTCCTGGGATGAAGCCCAGAGCAGGTGGGGGACTCACCATCTCTCCATGGTGGAGCCCTTTTTCCTCTTCCCCCGGGGATACTCCAGCAGGCAGACGAACACTCCTGCTACACTGAAGCTGCGGTTAAGGAACAGCCCAGCTCAGCCAGAGGCGCCACAGTGAACCCCTCTGCTGATGAGAAACAGGGGTGCAGCAGCCGCGGGCGAACAGCCAGATGGGATTCGATGGGTCTGGCCACTTCACTGCCTCTCCTGCACTTCCCTCCCCGATGCCTGTCTTGGGTTTCAGAGGACCTGGAACAGCCAGCCTACAGGGTGGCTGATAAAAGAGGGTACAGAGAGGATCCCTGGGGGTGCTGACACCTCTCACTCCCTGCCAGCGCCAGACAAGTCAATGCCCTGCTGAGCCCTGGCTTCCAAAACTATAGCTGAGCCTATCCTGCTGAGTCTGAAGGGCCAGGGCTGTGAGCAGCAGTCCGCAAACTGTGAAGTGCTGTGCCCCCAGAGGCAGTGGCATCTCTGTTCGCAGCCCACTAGTGCCACCCCTGGCAGTGCCACCTGCCCCATGGGGTCTACAGTGGGAGGATACATGGAGTAGGCGCCAAAGTACCACTGGGTGAACTGGCCAGCAGTGGCCACGATGCCGCCCGTGATGAGGACTGTGGACAGAGAAGCAGGTTAGTAGAAGCCCTAACCCATGGGAGAGACATGCCCCCACCCCATCCTTGCATGGCTGGGGCCCACGGGCGGCTGTAGCCACCTTCCCTTCTGCTCCCCCTCCCACAACTGGGCCACCTGCTCACCACAGAGCTGCCCTTGAGTCCCTCTACCAGGAAATGGACCCAGGTGGCTGCAGATGCCCACAGATAACAGAGGATGCCTTCCCCTAGGAAGAGGCACGTGAGCTGGGGAAGGGGTGAGGCTGGTGGAGCTGGGCCTGTGTCCCTGGAGCGGTTGGGGGACAGCCAGCTCACAGCCCTGGGCAGGAAGAGGGGCCTGGACACTCACTCTTGAGCGCTGTGACCCCATCGTTTTTTTGCATTTAAAGACTACACCGTTGACAGCTGATGTGGGGTCTGCTCCATGGAGGCCTCTCCTCGTTGCATGGTGTTCCTGTTCTGTCTCTATTCCGTTTCACCTTACTTTCACTTTTGTCTGATACTGATAATCATTCATGCTTCTTTGGTTAGGACTTGTCAGCTACCCCCTCCCTTTGTTTTCAGCTCTGTATGATCCCAGTGGACCTTCTCTCCCCAGTAATTTTTTTTATTGTGGTAAAATATACATAACGCTACACTGAAGCTGCGGTTAAGGAACAGCCCAGCTCAGCCAGAGGCGCCACAGTGAACCCCTCTGCTGATGAGAAACAGGGGTGCAGCAGCCGCGGGTGAACAGCCAGATGGGATTCGATGGGTCTGGCCACTTCACTGCCTCTCCTGCACCTCCCTCCCTGATGCCTGTCTTGGGTTTCAGAGGACCTGGAACAGCCAGCCTACAGGGTGGCTGATAAAAGAGGGTACAGAGAGGATCCCTGGGGGTGCTGACACCTCTCACTCCCTGCCAGCGCCAGACAAGTCAATGCCCTGCTGAGCCCTGGCTTCCAAAACTATAGCTGAGCCTATCCTGCTGAGTCTGAAGGGCCAGGGCTGTGAGCAGCAGTCCGCAAACTGTGAAGTGCTGTGCCCCCAGAGGCAGTGGCATCTCTGTTCGCAGCCCACTAGTGCCACCCCTGGCAGTGCCACCTGCCCCATGGGGTCTACAGTGGGAGGATACATGGAGTAGGCGCCAAAGTACCACTGGGTGAACTGGCCAGCAGTGGCCACGATGCCGCCCGTGATGAGGACTGTGGACAGAGAAGCAGGTTAGTAGAAGCCCTAACCCATGGGAGAGACATGCCCCCACCCCATCCTTGCATGGCTGGGGCCCACGGGCGGCTGTAGCCACCTTCCCTTCTGCTCCCCCTCCCACAACTGGGCCACCTGCTCACCACAGAGCTGCCCTTGAGTCCCTCTACCAGGAAATGGACCCAGGTGGCTGCAGATGCCCACAGATAACAGAGGATGCCTTCCCCTAGGAAGAGGCACGTGAGCTGGGGAAGGGGTGAGGCTGGTGGAGCTGGGCCTGTGTCCCTGGAGCGGTTGGGGGACAGCCAGCTCACAGCCCTGGGCAGGAAGAGGGGCCTGGACACTCACTCTTGAGCGCTGTGACCCCATCGTTGAGTTTTTGCATTTAAAGACTACACCGTTGACAGCTGATATGGGGTCTGCTCCATGGATGGCCTCTCCTCGTTGCATGGTGTTCCTGTTCTGTCTCTATTCCATTTCACCTTACTTTCACTTTTGTCTGATATTGATAATCATTCATGCTTCTTTGGTTAGGACTTGTCAGCTACCCCCTCCCTTTGTTTTCAGCTCTGTATGATCCCAGTGGACCTTCTCTCCCCAGTAATTTTTTTTATTGTGGTAAAATATACATAAAAATTTCAAGAAACAATTCAGTGGCATCAAGTACCTTCACACTGTTGTGTATCCATCCCCAGAATTTCTAGCAATATATATTGAAATATAATTTTTACATACAGTATAATATAAAGGCATAAGATTCCCATCAGCCCAGAAAGCTCTCTTGTGCCGGTCAACACTGGAACCCTAGATCTGGCTTCTTTAGCTCAACAGGTTGTCAAGATTATTCATGTGGTTTGGATGAATCACTAGCTCATTCTTTTTGTGTAGTTTTTTATTGTATGAATCAACCTCAATTTATCCGTTCTTCTGTCTATGGGAAATTTCGGTTGCTTCCAGTTTTGGGCTATTACAAATAAGCTAATATAGCTGAATTTTTAATATTTTAACCAATCTGATAGTGAATTTAACAGATTTCATTGACTGTGATTGCAGATAATTTGAACTTGTTTTATCTTATTTTGTGTTTTCTCTTTAACAAGTGTCCTTGTTATTCCTCTGACTTGATTGAACTTTAATTTTAAATTCTTCTTCCCGAACCACATGTGGGCTTTAGACTGTTTAACTTCAATCTCACTCCCAAATTACCCATTATTATTAATTATTTACAGACAATACTTAGTCACTAATGTCTTCATTCTTGCATCCCAGTCCTTCCTTCTGGATTCAGTTTCCCTCTTGCTGAAGTACATCCTTTAGTAGTCCTTTCTGTGAGGGTCTGTTAGCAGTAACTCTCTAGATACCTCAAAATGCCCTCATTCTGGAATAATAGTTTATCTGGATACTGAATTCATGTTGTCTCAATACTAAAGATATTATTCCATTGTCTTCTGGCATCTATTATTGATGATAAGTCTGAAATCAGTCAGATACTAATCCATTTTATTCTCTGGTAAATTTTAAGTTCTTTAATGGTCTGTATTTTATTACAATGTGACAAGAAGGGGTTTAAACAAATCCCTTTATTCTGTAAGGAACTTTGTTTTCTTGTTAAATTCTGGAATTTCTCATCCATTATCCCTTTTACATTGCCTCCTTCCATTCTATTCTCTCCTCTGAAACTGCCATTATATAGATGTTGGGTCTTCTTGTACTATTGTACATGACTCAACTTCTCTCAGCCGCATTCTGTGGTTTACTCAGATCCACCTTCCATTTTCTCTTCATCTCTATATAGTGTTTAACTCATCCATTGACCGTTAATGACTTTATATTTTGTTTATTTCTGGACATCCTGTATTAGTCATTTTTTGTTTTGTCCTGTATAATTTTCTATTCTTTTATCTCTTTGAACAGTTTCAAACACACCCTCAAGTTTAAACATGTACCCCTATTCTCAAGTCTCTTCCTAATGGCACCAGTTCTGAGGACATTCTCCAGTCTATGGTGTCTGCTTCCTCAAATGGTGGGTGTCTGCGAGCTACGCCCAGCAGGGCTTGTCTTCCTGTCAATCTGTGTGCCCTGGTTGAGGAAATGCCCTTACAGAACAGTTTCACATTTGCCTCTATGGGGTCTATAGGCTTCTCCAGTCCTGGGTGGACTTTATCTGAATTTCTTGGTCAGTGGTCCTTATATTAAAGGGTAGGGTTCAGCCCTCACCCCATGCACAGCACAGGCCTGAGTTTCTGGGGGTTTTGTCTTGTGACTTTCTTCATCAAATGGCAACAAATGACAAGCTTCCTTGGATGGGATAGTTTTCCAGTCTGTTCTTATACAGGCAACCTTTCCTAGCTCTGGCCGGAAGCATGCAGCTCCATTTCAGCCCTTTTTCTACACAGAGGCCACCAAATCCCACTGGGTAAAAGCCTGAGCCTCTGTCGGTCCCGATTCCCCAGGCCTCTTCCTTCCACCCCAGCACAGCATCTTGAAACCTCACTGTTTTTGTTGCCTGATTTCCTATTCTTGGAGTTGAGCTCAACTATGTAATAACTCTTTTGGTTTGCTCATCGTACTTCTATGAGTTGTAAGAGAGAAGGGTGTTCTCCCCATGTGTTCAGTCAGCCTGTGGTCTACTTATCTTTGGGGATATAATTTTCTCTTTTCTAGCCTGTTTTGTTGCCTGCCATTAGCAAAGGGGGAGCAAGATACCACTGGTTGGCCAGGAAGGCATGAGCAGATAGCACTACTGTGTACTGGGACTCTTATAGGTGCAGGGAACTAGACAGATAAGGCCTGAGCTCTCAGGGGGCTTATGGTCTCAGGAGGGAACAGAAATAAACATCCAACACTGCACTAGAACAGGGACTGTGACAGAGATGTCCAGGTGCTCTGGGAAGACTTCTCTGAGTAGGTGATATTTGAACTGAGAAATGAATGGAGGAGCCAGCCGTGGATATTTCAGACAGAAGGAAATGCTTCTGCAAAGACCCTGGGGTATGTCCAGGAGATCCGGGAACAGAAAGGAGGCCTGTGCAGCTGGAGTGACCCTGAAGGGAGCGGGGTAGGGGCAGAGCAGTCAGAATATGGCTTTTCTTCTTCACAATCCACTGCAGTATTTTCAGCAGGAGGTGACATGTTCTGATTAGATGGGATTTTCTGCAATAAAAAAGCCTGTTGGATGCACATGCTATTAGCCAGGCCTGAGCAGTCCCAGGTGCCTGCAGTTTATTCTGAGTCAGGAAAAAAAGTCAGCAAGAGGAGGAACTCAGAGTGGGAAGGGCCCTGGGAGACCTTCCAACAAACTGCCTTATTTGATGGTGGAAATGGAGTCACAGCTTGTAAATTCTCTAGGACAGCGGTTCTCAACCTGTGGGTCGCGACCCCTTTGGCGGTCGAACGACCTTTTCACAGGGGTCGCCTAAGACCATCCTGCATATCAGATATTTACATTACGATTCATAGCAGTAGCAACATTACAGTTATGAAGTAGCAACGAAAATAATTTTATGGTTGAGTCACAAAATGAGGAACTGTATTTAAAGGGCCAAGAAGGTTGAGAACCACTGCTCTAGGACTTGACTTTACTGTCTATAAAGTGGATGTAAGAAAGAGCTCTGGCCTCACAACACTGAACATTAGCTAAGGTGGTGGAAATGGAGTCACAGCTTGTAAATTCTCTAGGACTTGACTTTACTGTCTATAAAGTGGACGTAAGAACAGCTCTGGCCTCACAACACTGAACATTAGCTAAGGTAAGGAAGGAACAACCTGCACACAGTGGGCATGCCATGAGTGGGGACACTAGGAGGGTCACTATCTGCACGCACTGGGACTAGAACCCAGGCCTCTCAGAGAGCTCCCAGTTGGAGCCCTGTCACCTTCTACTTCCTGGGGGTAGAGAAGGGGTTGTGGAGCTGTAGGACAAAGGGAGGCTGATCTGCAGCAGTCTAAGGCCTCACAGCCTGTGGCAGGCAGGGGGACAGCCTGGGGACAGCTCTGGGAGAAGCGAGAATGATCTGTGCCTGGCTGTGGCTCAGTGGTTGAGCATCCACCTATGATCCAGGAGGTCACGGTTCGATTCCTGGTCAGGAAGCATGCCCGAGTTTCAGGCTCAATCCCCAGTGTAGGGCATGCAGGAGGCAGCCGACACTGGCCGGCGTGGCTCAGTGGTTGAGCATCCACCTATGGTCCAGGAGGTCACGGTTCGATTCCTGGTCAGGACGCATGCCTGAGTTTCAGGCTCAATCCCCAGTGTAGGGCATGCAGGAGGCAGCCGATCAATGATTCTCTCTCATCATTAATGTTTCTAGCTCTCCCTCTCCCTTCTTCTCTGAAATCAATAAAAAAATATTTTTAAATGATTTAAATAATAATAATAATAAAGAATGATTTGACCCACTGAGCTCTCAGTACTCTAGGTTCCAAAAGGGGGATGAGCTGCCTGCACACAGAACAGACCAGTGAGCCTCACCAAAGCTGCTCACACCAAGATGTGATCTTACAGTTTGGGGCCAGAGGGACTTCGTTTATGTCTACTCCCTTCCCTCCCAGAGCTTTGCCAGGCTCCTCCAGTCCCCAGCTGGCAGGGGGCTCTCAGGGTGGTTCTCAGGGCAATGGTGGCGGCTGGGACCCCGCTCATCACCACGTCCCCCACCATCTTCCCACCCACCCACTCCCACTAGGTGCAGGTCCTTCCTGGGAGTGGCAGGTCCCAGGAGGCGGGCAGTGCCTCTGGGCAGCTTCCTCTTGCTGCCGACCCCGCCTGGGCCCAGCTCACCCACACCTCCTGAAAGGTTCCCCTTCCCAGTACAACACGGTGCAGACCGCACTGCTTTCTTCACCAGAGCTCCTGAGCACAGGCTCAGGGTGACTGGGGGGCCTGTCATCCTTCCCCAGATGCAGTCTGGAAGTTGAGCTGGGAGGGTTCCCTCCGGGAAGTTTTAGATGTCCTGGAAAACTCAGAACTGGAAGGGGGGTGGGGGGACGCCCCTGGCGACCCCTGGGCGGAAGCCCCACTCCAGGGCAGGAGGGGTGGCGGGAGCAGGTGGTCCCCGCCCAGTTTTCCCAATCCTGGAGGGCGGTGACTCTCCGGAAACCACCCGGGACGACAGCCTCTTCCCCCAGGGCTGCAACTTCCTCTATCTGGAGAGGTCCGGGCGGGGTGGAGAGGTGACTAGGGGACCGCAGTGGGGGGAGGCGATGGGGGCACGCGGGTCTGCAGTCGCAGAAGGGTTCCCGGACCTCCGCAGCCCCGAGGTCTCCCGCTGCCGGGGCCT